ATAATTGGCCAACGCACGGGCTGCCCGTGCGAAGATGCGTTTTTTGCATAGTTCCCTGCAGTTTTTTTCGCTGCCGGCACCGGTTTTTTCGGCAAATGCTTCTAGCTAAACAAATTAAGACTGGCCACCAGAACTGTCGGGAAACACCTCCTTAAAATTTCAGCCTTCTAGCTTTCCTGGCTCCTGAGTTAGCACATTACTGAAAAAAAATTTCACGGGTCCGTACGTGGGTACCAGGCACACCTGATTTCTGGTTTTGAGCTCGTTCATTTACATGGATGGGGAACATTGTCTTAAAACTACAGTCTTCTAGCTTTTCAGGTTCTCGAGTTAGCAACTTACCCGAAAAAAACTTTGGTGGACCAATGCGTAGGTACCACGTAAACTCGAGGGCTGAGTTTGAACTGAATGAGATTTAGGTGGACGGGGAATATCCTCTTAAAATTACAATCATTTAGCTTTTCAGGTACTCGAGTTATCAACTTGCCCGAAAAAAACTTCGGCGGGCCCGTGCGTAGGTACCACGCTTACCGGGGGATGGGTTTGAGCTCATCAATACCTACTTGGAGGGGAAACATTCCCTTAAGATTTCAGCTTTCTAGCTCCTCAGACCCCCGAGCTATGAACTTGCCCGTAATATATTTTGGTGGGCTCTTACATGGGTACCACGCAGGTAATGACGCCCATTTTGGGAATTGGTACCCGTACGTGCACGCAGATTAAGTTCCCGAGGTTTCAGCCCTGTAGCTTTTGTAGGTCTTGAGATGAAAAATCTGTACAGAAGCCCAGCGCACACACAAACACACACACAGACAACCTCTCGTCAGTATGCGTTTTCCGCGTTGCATAGCTGCAAAAAACGCATAAAAACGTGTATTGGCAAGAGGCTGTGTGCCTGCAGCTGTGTCTGTGTGTTCCCACATTTTGCCACCCACTTTTAGAATCAGCTGGAACTTCGGGATTATTGTCTACCCGTTGTGCTACTTCCCCATTTTAATATTATTATTCACGCATGCCTGACTCCCACCTGTGAACGCCTCGAAAAATTATGCAAATTTTTTGTGGGGAAGCAATCTCGAAAACTACAGAAGGTGGAAAGCTAAAATTTTTAAGAGGATGTTCCCTGCTAATGTATAACTCAAAGATTTTTCAGCCTTCAGTTCTGCGTGTTTCTCACTTACGGGCATGTAAATTTTTGCGGGAGAATTGTTCACTAACAATTAGATCACCTTCAAAAAACAAGCAGAAATTATTCGTTTTCCCTTATACAAGGTATACGATCATATACACTAATAAGTATACAGGGTAAATATAAAGCAGCAACCATTCATGCGGTTAACTGCAAAAATGCATGATCACACCGGCAAGCCTGGTGCGCTCCAGCCTGGGTTTTTCTGTTATAACAAACGTAGATTTTAGAGAAGTGATAATGAAGAAGCTGGTCTGCGCGGTACAAACATACGACTGGGGTCGCCCGGGCAGTGCCAGTGAGGTGGCAAATTTGAAACGTGCAGCCGACACGCATTTCGTTATTGATGAAAAAAAGCCCTACGCTGAGGTTTGTTTTTCTCTTGTGCAACTGCTGCAGCAGTCGAGGAACACTGATAAAAAATTTATGCAGTTTTATGGGCCGAGCTGTCGCAACGTCGCTGCAACCAGAAATTTGATGCCTAAGCGATCTTACAGGTGCTCTGCCTACCTTTTTTTCCGGATCCATTGCACTTGATTAGCTTGTTTTGCAGTTTCAGAACTCACAGGTGGTGGCTATTTTTCACTCAGATTCGGAGGCTTTTGTTGAATGGGTAGAATTCCTCCCGTCAGAGTAGTTCGTAAGATGCTAGCGCTTACCCTGAGCAGAAGCTGAAATAAGAATGATGGAAAAAGTTCACCACGTCCCTCTCTATCTTTTGGAATCTCTGAACTTCGAGCTTGCGAACTTTTGGAATTATTCAAAATAAAAACTCAGAAATCTTTCCGTATTCGCTCTCAGTGAGAAACGAAGAGACTTGGGGAACAGCTCAACTGGTAGCAAATTTCAGCATCAGCCACCCGCTGGCAACGCTGTCGCGGGTCCCTCTTTCGAGAGTTACTTGTAAGCAAGTTGGTGGCAGTTGAAATTATTACTGTTGAAAAATATGCCAAATTGTACCGCATACCATACCTATTCGAAATGCTTACCGAAATGCGTCGTGGCGTTGAAATGAAAGATTATCATTACCCTGGGCGAATGTGGGCTTCTTCTTTTTCCCATGTGTTTTTAGTGTTTCAGCTTTGGATGGGTGTGCATCCCAATGGGCCATCTAAAATTGCTTCGAACGGGAAACTGTTGTCCGAAGAAATTGCAATCGCAAAATCATCCCTGGGAGCTCACGAAGGTGGAACACTTCAGTTTTTGTTCAAAGTGCTCTCCGTGAATAAGGCACTTTCCATACAAAGCCATCCCGACAAGGTTTGTGCAGTTTCTGTCCCTTAATCAGTGCTGACTCGTTTCACTGCTACGCATTCTTGGCAGCCTTTCAGTCGACGCTGCCACTGAAACTTTGCTAAACTCAGTGCTCAGCTTGCTAGTGATCTATGGCATTCCTCTATACGCTTTTCCATCGCAGAATTACGCTGTGGTCCTTTAGTTTGTCTGATAGTTGCTCTTTCCGCTCTCCTCTGTGATATTAGTCATTTGTAGATGATTAATTAGAAGTTAGCCCAGCCGGAGAGACACATAACTTCAGACGAGGAGGCTTCTTGAACTACGTTGACAGCGCCCAAACAACTCCTAAGTTTCTGATTAAAAAATTTATTTTTATGTGCTCACTGTAATTGCTTGCATAGTAGTGACACGATAAATGTAACTAAAGCTGTAAATCGTGGTCTGGCTCAGTCTTTTAATGCGTTTTGTGATGTGTAACAGCAGTACAAAACGAATACTGTCACGGGGTTGTCTGTGTGCGTGTTTGTGTGTGTGTGTGTGTCAGCAGCAACTTGTCCGCAACTTTCAACTCGGAAAACGCAAAAGCTAGGAAGCTGAAAATTCAGGGGAACGTTCCCCACCCACGTGTGATCTCGCAAATTTAAATTCTGCCTTCCCGTACCCGCGTACGGCCCCGTAAAATTTTGGGCGGGCGAAATTATTATCACGGGAACCACGGAAGCTGGAAGCCTGAAGTTTTGTGGGCATGTCCCCCACCCATGTGCTAACAAGAAAATTTAAATTCAGCTTTTCCCTGCCCGCGGGTAACATGTACGGCCCCGCGAAAATTTTTGACGGGTAAATTAATATCTCGGGAACCGTTGAGTATACGAAGCTTAAATTTTAGTGTAATAACCCTCTGCCCACGCTCGACCTTACCTATCCAAGTTCAGCGTTCCCGCCCCTTCGGGTACCACTTGCTGTCCCGCGAAAATTTTTGACGGATAAATTATTATCTCGGGAACCACGGAATCCAGGAAGCTAAAATTTTGGAGTAATGGCCCCCTACCGACGTACGACATCGCAAATTCAAATTCAGCGTTCTTATGCTCTCAGGTATCACCTACGGCTCCGTAAAAATTTTGATGGGGGAATTATTCTCTCGGGAGCCATAAAAGCCAGGAAGCTAAATTCTATGGTAGTGTCTTCTGTCCACATGCAACCCTGCAATTTTAAATTAAGCTTCCCACGGGTTCGAGTATCACTTACGGCCTCGTGAATGTTTCGGCCGGACAGTGAAAATCATTAGCAGGCAATCTTTCGGTGAATGGAGTTGCACAAAACGCATGATCGCACCAGCTGCCCTGGTGCGCGTCGCTATTTATTTTTTTAATTGCTTTGACCAGTGCTATATAATGAGCGTTGCAGCCGGCAATTTTGGCATGAATTTTATTTAAAATAATTTTTATTTTACATTTCTTGCTTTTTCTTTGGTCTTCGCTCAGAATTTTATTTAAATACATCATCATTCGTATATCTCGGTTGTCCCCTGTTCATCTTCTAGAGGGGCTACTTGCTCAGCTGATTTCTCAACAGAAGCAGTTTGCAAGGTTGTA